TTGTAAATCTTTACAGGAGCAGAAAGCCTCATCTTTCTCCCGCGGAGCAGCTGGTAGTTTCGAACTGCTGACCTTGTGGTTCATAGCCCAATTTGTAACCACTATGCTACCAGAGCTCCTTATTTTATATATATATTAGTTTTCTTGAGTATCACACTTTTTTTTTTTTAACTCTGGAATTCTCCTGTAAATATTATGCCCAAACTATCTTAGAAATATGATTTTTAATAGCTACTATATCAGCTATTAAGGAGTTCTGGTAGCATAGTGGTTACGAATCGGGCTGTGAACCTCAAGGTCAGCAGTTCGAAACTACCAGCGGTTCCGCAGGAGAAAGATGAGGCGCTCTGCTCCCGTAAAGATTTACAGCCTCGGAAACCCTGTATGGGGTTGCTATGAGTCGGAACCGACTCCACGGCACACAACAACAACAACAACATATCAGCTATTATTTTTGGTATTGCACAGCATCCCACCCCACCATTGCCTTTCATCCCAGAAAAGACTGTGTCTTGGACAGTCATAGTATTCCATTCTCTTGGTCACAGTGATGCTCCAATGACCGGTACATGACCTACACTGGACCTAGTGAAATCATTGCCCATGCTTTTTCTGATAGCAGCAGGTAGTAAAGAGCTCTTTCTCTAGGCCAGTCACAAGGAAATAAGAATGAGAGCCTAAGGCTGCTTATGGATGTTGATTCAGCTTCTTAAAGACATATAGCCTGGGGATCAAGATGATATTTAGGAGGGGGGAATTACAGCAGAGCTTTGATAGTGTTCAAACCCCTAGATCCAATCATTCCTAAGTCCAGCACTACCTTTACCCTTTCTGCAGTTTCTATCATTGAAGCAACACATTTGCCTTGTTGCTTAAGCTAACTCCAGTTTGCTTTCTGTTACTTGCAAAAAAAAGTCATGACAAATACAGAAACCTAATCTTCCGTAGCTAACTCACTGCCCATTTTTAAAATCATTATAAATAAGGCCAAAGTGAGTACCCTTATATCCAAACTAGGCCAGTCATGGCCATCAAAGTAAAATTGGAGACCCAAATGTTTAAAATTTGGGTGAATTATGGGTTGTATTCCTGAAATGGAAAAGTCTGAAGAAGCACAGTGAGCCCTTTCGGAAACTGGATGTGGGAGATTAAATTATTGCCAGGGCTGTGGAGAGCGACACACATACAAAGCAGCATGGTAGACTGCCATCTTAGTCAGGCACCACTGTTGAGCTCGGCTGGTTGAAAGATTGGATGGTTATTCATACACAGGCCTTGTTTTCTAACAGAGAGATTAAATTTCCAACAGGCCATCGAACTGTAATTTTTCCCATCTTGTTATCATTCCAGTTCAAGTTCACCCACATTTTACAAATTTAGATCCGACCATGACTGAGTCAGGAAGAAATGGTTCAAAGCCCTGGTTTTAACCCAAATGTTATTTTGTAAATGAAATCTTTCTGACTACCTTATTTTAAATCACAGCATCCTTCCTGTCTGCGCATGCACTTCCCATCACATGTCCCTGATACCATTTATCCCCAGATTATTTATCTCATTATTAGTTATCTGATAAATATTTATCATACTTACTTGGCGTGGCACTGTGGGTTAATGTGAAAGACTTCAAGGTTGGTTTCAACAACTAGGTTGGCAGTTCAAGCTTACCAGCCACTCCTCAGAATCCCTATACGGAGTCACTATGAGTTAGAACCAACTCCACGGCACTTAACAATAACAACAATATTTACTTAGTTCATGGTCTATCACATACATCCCAATAGAATGTAAACCTCACCATGCAGGGAAATATCTATGTACCACAACACCTAAAATAGCATTTGGCACATAGTTGATCATGTAAAGAGCCCTAGAGAATGGTTTAAGAGCTTGACTACTAACCGGCAAGTTGGTGGTTCGAACCCACCATTGGAGAAAAGACCCGGTGATCTGTTCCCATGAAGATTACAGCCCAGGAAACTCTATGGGACAATTCTACCTCTACTGTGTCACATAGGGTTGTTATGAGGTAGGATCAAGTTGTAGGCACACAACAACAATAGGTAATCTATGATGAGCAACAGTTAAACATAAACACATTTATGTTACAGTTAGGAAGTCATTAAAAAAAAAGACTACAGCCTAGAAAACCCAGGAGGCAGTTCTCAGAATCAACTTGATGGCACCTAACAAGTAATCAATATATACATGTTGAATGAATTGAAACAGTCTATTTGTGTGATACATAAACATGCTGTCTCTTGTCCTGTCTGTGATAAATATTTCCCCTGGCACCGAATGGTTACTTACTTCTTAACTATTATTTTCTTTTAAGATACAGGTTTACATGTTAATGTTAATTAGCCTTTGTGATTTCTTCAATACCACTTTGGGCTTAGAAAGTCCTTCCTGGAGTGGCACTCTGGGTTAATGTGCTGGACTGCAAAGTCAAGTCGGTTTGACCTGCAAGGTCAGCTGTTCAAGCTTACCAGCCACTCATCAGAAACCCTACACAGGGTTGGAAACAACTCAAAGGCACATTACAACAGCAACAACAACAAAATTAGATCATCTAGATTTATCTATTTTCTACATTTCATTTCTGTTTTGTTTCATGATTCCATTCCCAATTTCTTCTTGCAACAAGATAATGAAAAAGCTTCCAGGAGACCCTGGAGTGAGCCTTACCTAGAGATGTTATGTTGATCACATAACCATCACCTCTACAGTGCCCAATGTTGATAGCCAGGACAAAACACTTCAATCAAGTCCCCCTGCTGGGGGTTGCCAGGGGAGTTCACACTAAAGCAACCATTAAACATTGCAATGACAGAAAGAAAGAGGAGCTATCTGATAAAACTTGCCAGATGGGAACTAATTAAAAATTTCCACAGAAGCATAGTAGTACAAACTTATGGGGATTGCAGTCTTCAATAATGACTTCAACGCAGGCCTCTACCCTTTTCTTTGAATGATTCCAATACTCAGTTTTGTTTGTGCAAGTTGGCACAGGTGGAAAAGAATTTGCTGCTCTTACTTAATTTTCTACAGGAATGTTTATCATCTTGATAAGTTCCAGGGCCCCTTTAGTATAATAAGCATCTTACAATTCGCTTTAAACTCAGACATTTCAAATGCATTAATGTGACACTGTATTTGCAACAGTAAGAAAAAAAGGAAAGTCTGCTTCTAATAATGTGTTTTGTTATGTAAATGCTCAGTCTATCAGTACATGACATCATACAATATCTATATGCTTTCACTTAGCATGAAAAGGTCAGGATTCAGGAGAAGATCAGAAGGCATCATAAAATCAAAGACTAAAAGTATGGAGATATTAATATTCTGTGAACATTAAGACTGAATGGGAAATACTTTGTGCAGTAAAATTGTTCTTTTACTTAAATCGAGATACACCCTAGGTTCAGAAGAAAACCCATCCAGACATTCAGTCACAATGTAAAACACGGACATTTCTTCCTCGTTCAGAATTGTGCTGTGTGTTGTAGCATGATCACTCCAACAACCACAAATGCCTCCACAGAATTCCACCATTCCACTACTATCCTACTTCCCAGTTCCTGACTTAACTGCTTCCAGAAATGGGCCAGGTGGCCAGCAAAACTGGGACAACTTCAGAAGTTGGAGAGGTCATCATAGTGATGAAAAAGTCTGAACATTCTAAGTTTCGTTGATTCAGAAGAGGCTTTTCTTTTCAGTCCTTTTGAAGCAGTACTTTTTTACAGAAAGAACACATACATGTCTGATATGTGATCTACATTGGAAGTTCTATTTTCTAGGTATGACATAGGAATAGAGACTTAGCAAGAGGGACCTATGGCGCTCTATCAACAATCAAAGGGATACTCAATGCTATACCTTGTTCAGTCGTTAATTGACAACCGAGTGTTCATAATCTCGAACTCCCATGCAAATATATACACTCACTTACAAAATAAATTCAAGTGCCCAAAGTGGGAACTTACAAATCATTTAAATTATAAGAGCACAGGATAAGGACTTGGAAATATAGACTATCATTTTTCTGGCACTTTAATAGTCATTTCTGCAACAATTAATATTGGAAGGGTGTTTTCCCAAGTATTTGTATGCCATCTGTTGAAAACTCCAATCATCACACTGTCACAGAAACATGTCCAAATGTAAGCTGTCCATCTGTTGAAAAGTAACTACTAAAACAACTTTATGGAAAGCATTACGTCTAACCACCCTCGCAAATATGTTTGAGTCTTATTAGTATGACAATTTGGCCACGTGGGTACTAAAAAGAAAAATAGATTATATACTACGATATAAACAAACACACTTCCTATGAATAGGAATTAGGAAGCACACACAGCTGCCTACTAGAATCCCGAGACCCAGCCAAGCATACAATAATAATCATTCTTTGAACAGAGTACTTTGTAGTGGAAAAAAAAATTTTTTTTTTCAAATGTACTATCTCAATTAACCCTATTAAATGAAAACAAAACCACAATTATTTCAGCTAACTATTATATTATTATTGCATTTTACATATGAAAAACTATAGTGGCAAATGCCAATTTTTGGTAAATATCCACTGAAATCCTTATGCTATAAAATGTGGAGGGAAAAATAACTGGAATCAGTGTTGAAGATGTGAGCTTCTATCTCAGGTCTTCCACTTGCTAACTCTGTGACTTCGGGCAAGTCACTCAAATTATCTGGGGCTCAGCTTCAACTCTAAAATGGGGATGTGCTCATGAGGAATCTGTATATAGGCCAGGAGACAGTCATTCAAACAGATCTTACAACACTGAATGTTTTAACATTAGTAAAGGAGTGCACCAGGATTGTATTCTTTCACCATACTTATTCAATCTGTATGCTGCACAAATAATAAGAGAAACAGGATTAGATGAAGAAGAATGTGGCATCAGAATTTGAGGAAGACTCATTAACAACCTGAGATATGCAGATGATACAACCTTGCTTGGTAAAAGTGATGAGGACTTGATATACTTACTGATGAAGATCAAAGATCACAACCTTCAATACGGGTTGACCTCAATGTAACAAAAACAAAAACTTCTCACAACTGGACTAAAACCATGATGATAAAAGGAGAAAAGTCTGAAGTTGTCAAAGACTTCATTTTACTTAGATCCACTGTCAACACTCATGGAATTCAAGATATCAAACATGTTGCATTAGGTAAATGCACAAGACTTTTTTAAAGTGTCCAAGAGCAAAAATATCAGTTGGAGGACTAAGGGTGCCTGACCCAAGCCATGATATTTTCATGTGCATGTGAAAGTTGGACAATGAACAAGGAAGATTGTAGAAGAAATTAATACAGTTGAGTTACAGTGTTGGAAGTGAATATTAAAAGGACCATGGACCTCTAGAAAAACAAACAAATCTGTGGTGGAAGAAGTACAACCAGAATGCTCCTTAGCAGCCAGGATGGCGAGATTCCGTCTCTCATACCTTAGGCATGTTACCAGGAAGAACCAGTCACTAGAGAAGGACATCATGATTGGTAAAGCAGATGATCAGCAAAAAAAGAGGAAGACCACCAATGGCTGGATTGGCACAGTGGTAGCATCAATGGGCTCAAGTGTAACAACAGTTGAGAGGATGGTTCAGGACGATGTAGTTTTTCATTATATCATGGTTGGTGGTGTCACTACAAGTCTGAACCGACTCGAAAGAACCTAACACAACAATAGGGGAATAGGTATAGTGATGGTTCAGGGATAAAACTCTCACCTCCCATATAGGAGACCCGGATGTGATGTCTTGCCTATGTTCTTCATGCACAACCACCACTCATCTCTCAACAAGGTGTGTGTCTGCTATGATGCTGAACAGGCCTCTGTAGAGATCCAGACTAAGATACAGATTACGAAGAAAGGCCTGTTGATCTACGTCCAAACATCAGCCAGTGGAATCTCCATGGACCACAACAGTCTAATCCCATTGTGCACAGATTCACCATGATTAATAGCCAACATGAAGGCTACTAATAAGAATATGGGGCCAAATAATTTCGCTCAATAATCTGTTGCAAATAACCCTTTGTGAAGTAGTAAAAAGCTGTTTCAAAGGCTTTGTGAACTGGCAAGAGCAACACAGGTGGATTGTAAGAGAGAGGTGATTTTTTACAAAGATACAGTTTAGATATTGATGCTTGGTCTATATATGGTTTTAGTTTTTATTCTCTTGCAGTCAAGGTAATTCTATGCGATGAATGATTCCACCACAAAAATTTAACATATGTAACACATTCTCAATTTCTGACATATTGTTCATACACTGATTTATGAATTAAAATTCATTTATTTCATAATATCTATCATAGAGTTCAGGAGCTCTGGTAGTGTAGTAGTAATGAATTGGGCTGCAAACCGCAAGGTCAGCAGTTCGAAACTATCAGCCACTCCGTGGGAGAAAGATGAGGCTTTCTGCTCCCGTAAAGATTTACAGCCTCGGGAACGCTGTACAGGGTTGCTATGGGTTGGAACTGACATGACAGCACTTAACAACAACAACATCATAGAGTTATGGTCTGCCAAAAGAACCAACAGATCGGTTTTGGAAGAAGTGCAGCCAGAGTGCTCCTTGGAGGCCAGGATGGCCAAACTTCATCTCTCATACTTCGGACATATTGTCAGGAGGGACCAGTTGCTGGAGAAGGATATCATGTTTGGTAAGGTGGAGGGTCAGAGAAAAAGAGGAAGACCCCAATGAGATGGACTGGTCAAGTGGTAGCATCGATGGACTCAAGCATGACAATAGTGAGGTTGGCCCGGGACCTGGCAGTGTTTCATTCTGCTGTGCATAGGGTTGGTATGAGTCGGTACTAACTCGATGGCACCTAACAACAACAACAACATCATAGGTAACAAGTCCTGGTGTGGCGCTGTGGGCTAATGCGTCAGACTGCAAAGTTGTTTGAACTGCAAGGTAGGTGGTTCAAGCTCACCAACTGCTCCTTAGAAACCCTATACATGGTCTCTATGGGTCAGAACCAACTCAACAGCACTTAACAACAACAACATCATAGGTAAAGGATTGCTGGCATGGCACTGTGGGTTAATGTGCCGTTAAAGGTCGGTTTGAATCAAAAAGTTGGTGGTTCAAGTTCACCAGCTGATCCTTGGAAACCCTATACAGGCTATGAGCAGGAACCAGCTCAATGGCACTTTACAACAATAACAATCATAGGTAAGGAGTCTTCATGTGGCACTAAAGGATAAGCACTAGACTGCTAACCAGAAGGGTAGCAGTTCAAACCCACTAACCACTCCCTTGAAACCCTCTGCAGGGTTCCTATGAGGCAAAACAGACTCCACGGAACTTAACAATAACAACATAATAGAAAAATGAATATTAATCTGAGTCCGACATCTCACAAAATATTAACTCAAAATACCCATTTTGAGTTAATATTTTGTGAGATGTCGGACTCAGATTAAGATTGTAATGGTAATAATACAATAAAACAATTCTAGATCTTTTAGAAACAACACACAAAAACATCTTCAGTATCTAGGGCTAAGCAAAGTATCCTCAGACTTAACCCCAAAAACATGATCCATAAAAAGGACAAACTGATGAATGGAACTTACTCGAAATGACAAACATTTACACTGTGAAAGACTCTATTAAGAAGTCGAAAATATAGGGTACAGAGTTGGGAAAATATTTGCAAATCATATATTTGATAAAGGACTAGTCAGAACACATAATCAACTCTCAAAATTCAACAGTAAGAAAGCTAACTAAACAGAGAAGTGACATGTCATCAAAGATGGCCAAACCCAAAAACACA